GGGCCCTCCAGAGATCATTCACCAGCGTGACCAATGCCGTTTCCGTGCTGTATCCCGGCCTGAAGCCCGACTGGAGCGGGTCCAGATAGACTGTTTCCTCCAGGTGCCGAGGGAATTGCTGCGCAACCACACTCTCAACAACCTTCGCCACAAAGCGAAGGTTGGAGACCGGGCGATAGTTAGCCAATACATCTGGGTCTAGGGAAGGCTTCTTAAGGAGGGGCCTCACCACCGCCTCCTTTAAGGCTACGGGGAAGGCACCCTCCCATAAAGAAGCGTTTATAATTCCCTGGAGCCAGGCTCGTGTACCCTCCCGGGCCGCCAGTACCAGCCAGGAGGGGCACGGATCCAGTAAACATGTGGTTGCATTCAGCCTCCCCAGGATCCTGTCCACGTCCTCGGGACAGGATTCAGTCTGATAACGTAGTTCTTTTTTTAAAAAAAAATCCCTAAAAATAACATTATCATAATAATAGACTCTTCCATTTACTTTGTTATATTGTAGTTGATGAAGTGCAATCATTTCTTGTCGTTTGTAGTACAGCCAATTCACCAGAGATCTGCATGGAACTTTTTTCTGATCAGGCCTCATAGAAAGCCATGCCAGACTGGATGCAAAATGAGAATGAAGTTGGGGTAGTTGGGAGATATTTCATGGGGGAAACAAAACTATTAGGAAAGAAGGATAGATTTTTGTACAATATTGATAATAGAATAGAATAGAATAGAATAGAATAAACTTTATTATGGTTTGTGACTTGCTACGCTTTTATTGATCAACTGATTGATTCTTATTCTTGCTTTAGCTCCTTCTCAGTGAAATATTCACAGCCAGAATTTCTACCCTCTTTCACATCATCTCATTTCTTTCAATTTTAGATATGTTCAGAGCTCAGTTTCCGATTTTTTAAAAAAAAATCTTTACAACTCTTTTTCACATTATGTTTTATTTGTTTTATCTAGTTACTAAACATAACATTCATCATTATACCCTCTACACATCTAGAGATAATTTTAAAAATACCATGAAACTGGGTACATAAAAGCAAACAGTGTGTCAAGCAAACACAATGTGAGACATATTTTTTTAATTAAAATAAAAAAATAAGTATACAACTTTCTATAGCAATGAAATTCTTATGGCATCAAAGATTCTTTACTACTTGCCTAAGGTAGAAAGAAACCAGCTCATTTCTCTTTAGAGTTCTTCAATTGCAATTTTGCTATAAAATACAGGAATAAATAATCTGGTTCCAAATTATCTAGAGATTTATAGGTTTGAATCGTAGGCAAAAAACCCTGAAAGCAAAAAAAAAAAAAAAAGTAATACAATCTATAAATTACATTTGTGCAAAAGTCTAGCCCCTGCGTTTTTCATTCTTTCTAGTTTCCAATAATCTTATTTATAGTGTAAAAATAGGAGATGATTAAAGTATAATTCATATGCCTAGATTATCTTTCTTCAAGGAAAAGTGCAGCTAACATGCCATATCAACATTATTGCATCAGGGTTACGGGTGCGCATGTATGTATTTACGGTAGTTGTCCCAATAGTGACTAAAACGGTAATTACTTTTTCAACAGAGCCACCCACTTGGGTAAGCAAACCAAAAAGCGGAATTTTCAGTGTTGGTGGAAGTTTTGTACTGTTTTGTGAAGCGATTGGCTTTCCTGAGCCAAGTATAAAATGGAAAAAGAACGGCATCCCTCTTGAAGGTAAGCATAGGATATAAACCTACAGTTCAATATAAAGTGGCCTTTTCCAATGTGATGATTCAGATGCATAAGATTTCAGCTTCCATTATTCCTAATTATTGGTCCTATTGACTGGATATGTTTCTTAAAATCCAACACCACCAAATTAGACAATGCTAGTATGAAAGAAACCCAGTGAGATTGCTTCCATTTAATCAGTTTTATTGGACTAACTTCCCAGTAATAGAGATATTGTGATTGAGTGACTATTTGATAAAGTTGTCTGGATTCCTTTCATTCTCATAGATAATAAGCTGTGCCTCTCCAGCCATAATGCATATAATATCAACCGATTTGCAGTTGGAAAGCTAATTCCATCTAATCATTGACTGCAGCCATGGCTCCCCATAATTTTGGGCATGGTGGGCATATTTAGATGGATGCTCTTGCATAATAGCCATCGAGGAGATGTCCATTCAAAAAATAGCTTGCACAACCATTTAGAAATATTTTTTAATATGCATATCTCCCTAGAAAAAGATAATTAAGACAAGGGATAACAATAAATGTCCTAGAAAACTAGGAAGGATGTCAGGGAACAATCTCACCAGTAATTTTCTTTGAGTATCCACTGCATGATCTCAGAATATGAGATGTATCAATTAATCCCTCCCCAAGTTAATATCTCTGTACTCCCCTATAAACAAAGTAAAGAACAATAATACAAAGAAAACACTACTAAGAAAAGGCTGCCATATAAAGTGGTGAAGTTTCCTTCATCAAGAGTCTTCCAAAAGAGACCGAATAGTCATTTTTTCAGAGATGCTCTACTACATAAGCAAGGGATGGACTGGATAACCTCAAAGGTTAACTTCCAGCTCTCATGTTGCATAATTCTAAGAATCTTGGTTAAGAAGATTATTGTATTTAGTATAGGAATTAATCATGCCCTATGGTAGATGCCTGACTAGCCCAAGGTGAAAAGTGAAATACAATTACAACTGCAATTGGCAGTGCTTTTTTTGTAAAAAAAAAAAAAAAAAAAGGTGCCGGAACTCACACACGTCCTACAACCCGCCTTGCCTACCCTACAAGGTTCCATCCAAAAAAGGTGCCGGAACTCCGTTCTGGGCGTTCTATGACAAAAAAAGCCCTGGCAATTGGGACTATAATTTCCATTCTAAGCAAGGTGGTTGTTAAATGTGTTGTGCATAATTTTACAACCTTTTTTCCCCCCTATGGCTGTTAAGTGAATCACTATAGTTATTAAGTGAATCATGTAGTTGTTAAGATAATTTGGCTTTCCTCATTAAATTTTTAGGGGAATATTTATACTTTCAAGTGCAGTTTATAATGCCTTGGTGGTCTTCTATCCAAGTATTAGTCAGGCATGGTCATATTTCGTTTCCAAGTTCAGATAGGTTAAGATTAATAGATTTGAAATTGAAGGTTAATACTAAATAACTTACCGCTAGGGCAGAAACAAAGGTAAGTTTAGAAAGTTTGTCATGAAACTATGTTACTAGGAAAATAGATATCTGCAGTTTGTTTTAAGCTTTAAAGACTAACCATGTGTCACCAGCACGGTATTTATCGGTACAGCTAACTCATAATCAAGTCTAATACAAACCCTTTATGAGCAATTGCATCTAGAAATGTTAAGCTTAAAGCAAAATGAGTCTTATTTATGATGTCATTGTTTAACACTAATTGTTATTTGCATAATTAAATTTGTGTTAATGCGGCACATAATACAAAGATTAATGAACGGTCTCTACACATTCTTCCCTTTTCTGTACGACTAATATTTGCCAGAGGAAAACTTAAGTGCTAGTGAAGAATTGCAAGTCTCTTATTCAAACCATTTCTTATCGTATTGGCAGATAATGAAATAAAATCCAGCAGAGCTGTTTTTTCAACAAGGGAGATCAGCATCACTGACTTGGAACTGAGTGACACTGCTGTGTACCAGTGTGAGGCTACCAACAAGCATGGCACTATCCTGGCCACAGCAAACATTGATGTTCTCAGTAAGTTATTCTTACGGGGAATAGCAGGCTCAGGGTTTTTTGCTCATACCTGCCAGCACAAGGATCAGAAAGGAATTTGGTTTGAAGAGAGCTACTGCCTCTCACAGGAGAAAATGCTGAGTTACATGGATCTAATTACATCTGTCTTTGTAAGCAAGAGATGATATTAATTATTATCAATTAACAAGGTAACTAAGTAACTGGGGGATGGTGTAAGGGTACATTATATTTAGGATGGTACATCTATCCATTTTTTAAAATTAGAATGATCCATGCGTCATCATAGTGACCCACCAAAAATGTTTAATACCTTTATTTCTGCTCAGAATGGCATTTGTACAAATAATGTTAATCTAGCAGGAAAAGCACAGCAGAGAGAAATAAAGGGTAGACGGAAATAAAAGATATCCTTCTGTGTCAGATTTTAAAAGCTAATTATTGCTGAATCAATTTTTTCAACCAAAAGGTTTCCACACTTTTAAAATCCCATAGATCCACTAAAAGATGTACCGTATTTCATTTTCTAGCATTTTACAATGAGAAACCTAGTTGCTAGGAATATCATTTTATGTGCTTAGGAAAAATGGAAAATAGCCCAACAAAACAAAGGGGGGGGGGAAGCAACTTTGAGCCAAAAGGATACTGCCACCAAAGGTGACATATCTGTAAAGTTGCTTATAACACTGCTCAGCAAACCCTACAATTAATACAGTGTAATTTTGATGGAGTGTGAAACCATCTCTGAATTCATGGTTTGTTTGTTTGTATCCCAGTCAATAGCATAAATTGGGGTTAAATACTGTTACAAAGTGCAGGTGCCTTCCAAACTTCTGTTTTGTGGTCAGAGCTTCCCCCTATGATTATGTCCCTGAAATTTGTTAACATAGATGGAAATTGGGAAAGTCAAAAAAGTGCAATAAATCCTCAGAAAAGCTTTAGCATATCTTAAAACTGCCCAAAGATCAGGAGTGTTCACTTTCATCTCTTTTCTACTAAAATTCCATTTGCATTGTTTATGATTGTGGGAAAAGGAGATTATTTTTTTCAGGAGTAAAATAAGTATAGCTCAAAATCACAAAATTTGACCTAGGATTAAGAATATTTCTTTTTTTTTGTCACCATTGACTCTTTCTTTACTAATTTACATATGCTTTGTCAGATATTCCTCCAGAAATATTAACTCCAGATGGTGAAGAATATGTGGCAGTAACGGGTTATTCAAGTCACTTGTATTGTCAGTTTTTTGCAGTACCCACACCAGATATTTCTTGGTAAGCTTTATTTTGTTTCCCTGGTAAGCTCTTTTGTCATAAATTGTTGTTGACATCTTTTAATCCATTTATATTTGATTGCCAGAAAAAAAAAGAATTTTAGCATTATATAAGCTACCTTTGTTTTAAATATTTCAAGCGTTAACATGATAGTGTTAATGAAGCCGTACATTGTTAGTCACAGAAATGATAAGCTCTCAATTTGCTCAGAGGGTTTCCTTTGTCAGTAATAAATTAGATGAATTCCAATGTAATTTTGAAAAGATTCTATTGTACTCCAATCCTTCTTAAAGTTTCCTAAGAATTTCTTCAGATGGCAAAGAAGCCTATCTCAGATTTAGCTTTATCTCTTTGACAGTATGTTTGAAGTTAAACTAGACTGCCCTCTATGTATTGTCTTGCTATTCTTTATCCATTTCTATGATCAAATAATTCTAAACACTCATGTTCTGCATCTTTTTTTGCCTTATAACACTGGCCAGCATCTCCACCTGAGCATTACATTAGTGAGAACATTCCAGAACTGTAAGCAAACAATTGTCAGTTACCAAATCTCTACAGTCTGCAATATGTTTCCTTATTTTTCCCTTACACACATATATATACATAATGCACAAACAACTTTACATGATAAATAAATAATATCAATTGCGATTGATTTTATAGGAGCCATGGTTATGCACTGGTTAGAAAGCTGTATTGCAGGCTAACTCTGCTCACTGCCAAGAGTTCCATCCTGACCTGCTCAAGGTTGACTCAGCCTGCCAAGGTCAGGAAAATGAGGACCCAGATTGTTGGGGGCAATATTGTGACTCCGTAAACAACTTAGAGAGTGCTGTAAAGCACTATGAAGTGGTATTTAAGTCTCAGTGCTATTGCTATTGCTATTATCCATATTTCCTGGGTTACAAATCAG